CACATGGTTAACTTGCTTTCCATTTATTACTTAAAGCGAAGTACTTCTTAAATACCATGTTGTTATGTTCTTTTTGTGTATATATCTGATAAATCTCACAAGCTGTCAAACGGTTACCTTTCGACACATGCCAAGTGTCACAGTAATGCTGGATCTCAGGTCGCTGCTCCCTCAGATATTTCTGTATTGATGGATGGCGATCTGTGACGATTGCACCAACCCTTAATCCTGCTGATTCTAGGAATTGGAGGCTTCTCAAGAAACCTTCGCGTTTCCATGCGAGGACTTCCACCCACTTCATTACTCCGACAGAAGAAAATCTCAATTAAAAAAAAAAACATTGTACAAAAAATGACAGTTATAATGAAACCAGACAATGAGTATGTTTCATGGTTTGTACACATTTTTACCAATAAATTTCCATGACCTCTGAGACCATGTTCAGTTGCATTACTGTCTGTGGAGGGTCAGAAAGCTCTTGGATTTCATCAAAAATATCTTAATTTGTGTTCCGAAGATGAACGAAGGTCTTACGGCTTTGGAACGACATGCGGGTGAGTATTTAAAGATAGAATTTTCATTTTTGGATGAACTATCCCTTTAAAGTGTTGCAAAATGCATTATAGTTTATTTATTGCAGTGATCATACTTTCTAATTAGGGATCTTTTTTGTTCATCTCAAATCTGCCATAGGTACCGTGTTGTAAAACAACACTTACTTTTCACCGCCTTCTTGCGTGATATCAGGCTCATAGGTGACATCTGACAATTGCTTTGAGGTGCAGGTTGAGCTGTCGTTGATTGTGGTGTCTTCCACACGTGGCCTTTTAATTGGTGTTGATGTGAAACATGGAGGTTCAAGACTTGTGCCAACACTCTCAGAACAAGAGATGCCAACAGAGCATCCAAAAGGCTTCACTTGAATCATTTCAACACACACATATGACAATCAAACCCATGAAACACAACACAAGAAAACTATTCCCAGCTATTTTTTTTTACCTTTCAGCTTTTGTGTTATCGTTTGGCTCGACACACAAAGATGGTGCATCACACTGACATGCCACATCTCGTTAGGGGCTGTATAACAGGAATTGCATCACAGTATGATATGAGTGCAAAGCAAAAATATATCATTTGACAAGACTGCCAGCTTTTGAATTAAACTAAGAATTATTCGCAAGTCTTTCTTGCGGTTGAAAGACCGATTGATTGATTGATCGATTATACATTTCAATAAGCTGTACTGTATTCTTCAACATACCTTCTGATGTTCATTCATTTGCACTTTAGTGTTATAACCAGTAGTAAGGAGTAAGAGATTATCCTTATGATGAATCTCACTACTAAACTAGTGCTGTTGTCGTTGGCGCACTCATGCGCCAAAAATCATTTAATTTATTGTAAGTTACGCACTATGACAAGAATTTCTGCTGGCAGCCCTGTATCATGTTTAACGTCTGAAAAAGCTTGGTTGCTAGGTAGTTGCACTTACCTTCAAACTTTGTGAGGAGCCAACTGTGTAGACTGATGGGACAGCCGTATCTGTTAATGACAGATATTTGACAAACCCCATTTCGTGTTGTGTCCGATTTTTAATGCATTCGCGTGTGAAGTGCTTCGAACACAACCGCGACCTCTCTGATATCCCTCCTTCCTCGAAATGCAAAAAATCGAGCCATTGTGACCGCAACCAGGGTGTTTTGGGGATTGGAAATAGGGTTTCGGGAGAACCACAACCTAAAACGCACCTCCTCGCCATTTCTGTGTGTTTGTTACGCGGTTTTTCCTTCGCGCGCTCTCAAAGCTCACAGTTGGATGGGCGTGGTTAAGGATTTTATGCTCATGCCCAAGCCGTCAAACTGACGTCATCAGAGAAGGCCCGTCGTTTTAGAGGGGAGGAGCATTTTCAGATTTGGATTAAAGAATACGAAAGCAAACAACTTTTTTTTGGTGGATTGACTTGCACGGATGAATTGTTCTCCACAAAAATAGCAATGTGCGCTAACAAAATTAATATAGTAAATTTTGATTTCATGTGTACTTTAAACCCTTTTCATTCAAACTAATTGATTTCCTTTTACATTGATATTTAGAATTCTGTTTTAAGCCTGATTGTATCATTAAAAAATATATAAATAAATTATAAAAAAAGAGAATAGGTTTATCAAAAAATGTTATTTAAATTGCTTTTAAGTTCATGTTAAGCTGAAAAACAGACGCATCTGCTGATAGAACGGATCCGCTGTTTGCTTTCAAACGCTCCCGTGTGTATCTGTGTAAGCACTCGGTGAAGATGTGTATTTACAACATGTTTTTGAAGCGATGATCACTGTAGCCAATCACAGACATATCTGTTGAACGCGTGAACACAATGGCCAATCAGAGATGTTTCAGAATCTACTCAACAGCGCTCAAAATGCTAGCGCAAACTAGCGCTGGCATCGTCACATTTTTAAGATTTGAGTACAGACTTGGTACCGATGTTGGTACTTGTGACAACCTTATTATATTGACAACAGGAGGTTGTTAGAAAAGTCAAGTCAAGACAGTCAAGTCGCCTTTATTTCTATAGAGCTGGAAATAAAAGAAAATTGCAGAATCAATTATGGAAACTCTATGGAAACAATTTAGATTCTGTTGTAAAGTTGCTCTAAAAGACAGTAGTGTCATTATTTAGTTCAAGTCCGTTCGGGTCAATAACAGTGTAATGTTCATCAATTTAAAACAAGGCCAATTCAGCGGAAAAAAAGTTCTATAAAAGACACCAATGTGGTTATTCCGTTCAGTGTTGATCCAATTCAATACCAGTGTCAATGTTGCAAGATGTGCTTCAGCTTTAAAGCTACTTTACAGATGTTCTACTTGCCTGTAAAAAAAATCCACATTGATGACATTTAAAATAGTTCTCTCTTGAAGGAATCGTCATGTGCTACTTAAGGTTTCCTTTTCAGTTGAATCATTTTTACACTGTTTGCATGTGAAAGGCTTTTCTGAATTCTCATGTGGACTTTAAAGGGTTAGTTCACCCAAATATGAAAATTACTCCATTATTTACTCACCCTCAAGCCATCCTAGGTGTACATGACTTTCTTCTTTCAGACGAATACAATCGGAGTTATATTACAAAAATATCCTGGCTCTTCCAAGCTTTACGTATAATGGCAGTGAGTGAGTGAGTGTTTTTCGTCAATAGTCCAAAAGAAGTCCAATAAAGGGCATCCATCCACAGGGCCGGACTGGGACACCACTTCAGGCTGGGAAATCTCACACTCATCCAGGCCAGACACCCACAACAAATTTTGAAACCACAGACAACCCTATTATTTGTATGGCCATCACATAAAAATATCTAAATCCTTAGCCTCAGGCCATGCAAAATAATTAAAGATTCTCTCTTGAACAGCACTTTCACTTCCCTTTTACAGCTCTTCATTTTCGTTGATATCTCTCTTTCTCCCTTCTGTTTATGTGTGTGTGTGTAAATTATTTTTGGCTATTTTTCTTGTACCTGTTACTTCTTTACCAGTAGGTCTACTGTTATGAACAGAACATGCCTCATTGTAATTTGTTTGCACACGATCTGAATTTATTTTTGTTAAATTCAATGTACTACATTAGGACAATGTGTTATTATTGTTATTTATCTTAAAATCTATTTAATACCCAAGATTAACAAACCTATATTTCATACAAATATTTTGCAATACATTTTCTAAAGTGCCTAAATGTCAAAATCAGTACAATAGGTTTATAGAAAAATAATACTGAACACGTATACACACAATAACAATAATATAAATAATTGAAGAAAAAAAAACCACTGGGCAGCGGGCCAAATCAGCCGCCAGGCCACCGGGAATTAGGGGTGTTTGATTCCAGGTTTTTCGGAGTCGATGGAATCGACTCCTCGACTCCATTTAGCGTGACTGTCCGAATTAGTCCAATTTATTGGTGGTGACATTACCTTTAAATGAGCTATCAATGATCAACGTTGTTAGCTGTTGCTCCTGAAGCGAATCAATGTGTTTTTGTAAGACAAATATCCATATTTAAGACTTTATAAACCGTAATCTCTAGCTTCCGCTAACTGTCAGTCAGGCGGATGATGTAGGCATAGCGTAAGGTCCGGTGAGAATATGCTCGTCTCGCGAGAACCGACGTTTGATTACAGAAGCAAAGGAAGCAAAGTTTCCTTACTTTAGCAAAGGAAAACCAGTCTCCTCTTGGCTTATATCGAAATTCTCCCACATTCTTCTTTACAAATCCTCGTTTTGTACTTCTAATAACTGGTGTTTTGTTTTGCTCTCTCTGCTGCGCTTCCGCATTTGTCACTTTCCACCGGACATCTACATCATCCACCGGAATGAACATGCGCACAACAGTTAGCGGAAGCTAGAGACGGTTTATAAAGTTTTAAATATGGATATTTTTCTTACAAAAATGCATCGATTCGCTACAGGTGGCCTTTATTCACCCCCCGAGCTGTGTGGGACACTTTTTATGATGGATGGATGCGCTTTATTGGACTTCTTTTGGACTACTGACAAGAAACACTCACTGCCATATTTTTTTTTAAATAACTCCGATTGGATTCGTCTGAAAGAAGAAAGTCATATACACCTAGGATGGCTTGAAGGTGAGTAAATCATGTTCACACCAAACGCGAATTTAATTATTCGCGCGAGAAGATTACATACAAAGTCAATGCAAAGACGCGAATACGCGCCAGGCGACGCAAAATGCGCGACGCGAATAACGCGAGATATTCGCCTCGATCGCGTCTTTCGCGCAAGTTAAAAAATTTCAACTTCAGCGGAAAATTCGCCTGACGCGTTCTCACGCAAGCCAATCAGCCAAGAGCTTATTGGCACGTCTGGTTGAATCAGAAAATGGAGGAGCGCATTATTGTATCTGTTTGCGGGCACCCCGAAATATATGATACAACTTCATATTCTTATATAACTGTCATCCAGGCGCTGTTAAGGCTTATTTTACAATTGAAACTTTGTCCACACTGTTGGCACGTGAAGGGACTCTCTCCATTGTGGATTCTCATGTGGACTGTAAGGTTTCCATGTTGAGCAAAACTCTCTCTACACACTTTTAACATGTCTAAGGCTTATTTCCAGTGTGAACTCTCATGTGCCTTTCAAGACATATTTTACGAATGAAGCTTTTTCCACACAGCTGGCAGGAAAAAGGCCTCTCTCCGTTGTGGATTCTCATGTGGACTGTAAGGTTTCCATGTTGACAGAAACTCTTTCCACACTGAGGGCAGGTGTAAGGCTTCTCTCCAGTGTGAACTCTCATGTGCCTTTTAAGACATATTTTACGAGTGAAGCTTTTTCCACACAGCTGGCAGGAAAAAGGCCTTTCTCCGTTGTGGATTCTCATGTGGACTGTAAGGTTTCCATGTTGTCTGAAACTTTTTCCACACTTTAGACATATGTAAGGATTCTCTCCAGTGTGAACTCTCATGTGAATATTAAGGTTTCCTTGTTGAGCAAAACTCTCTCCACAGCGTTGGCATGTGTAAGGCTTCTCTCCAGTGTGAGTTCTCATGTGCCTGGTAACGTTTTCTTTTAGAGCGAAACTTTTTCCACACTGAGGGCAGGTGAAATGCTTTTCTCCAGTGTGAATTCTTATGTGCTTGTCAAGACTTTCTTTACGAGTGAAACTCTTTCCACACTGTTGGCAGGTAAAAGGGCTCTCCCCAGAGTGAATTCTCATGTGGATCTTAAAGTTTCCTAGTTGAGCATAACTCTTTCCACACTGAGGACATATGTAAGGGTTTTCTCCAGTGTGAAGTCTTATGTGAACATTAAGGTGTCCTTTTTGAGCAAAACTGTGTCCACACTGAGGGCAGGTGTAAGGCTTTTCTCCAGTGTGAACTCTCATGTGCCTGGTAAGGTTTCCTCTGTGATTGAAACTTTTTCCACACTGTTGGCAGATGAAAGTCTTCTTTCCCGTGTGAATTCTCTTGTGGTCTTTAGGGTTTCCTCGTTGACTGAAACTCTTTCCAAACCGAAAGCAAGTAAAATAACTTTGAGTTTCTGACTCTTGAGCTCTTTTTTGCGTGAGAGTCTTTTCAGTCTTTGAGCAACAAAAATATTTTTCTTCAGTTATGAAATCATGAAGATTCTCATATTGATCTTCCTCTTCATTTTCATCAAGTACTACTTTCTCCTCTTTCAGTGCCATTAGGTCTAAGGTGAAAAAACAAAGAAAAGTTTACAGCAGTTTAATGACACAAGACAACAGATATAAAAAAATGTAGATATGTAAAGCATCAAGACCATATGGCAGAGGGACATTGGTGGGGTGTGGTAAATATATAAAAGAAGCAGGGGGGAAGTTCATTCAATATAAGATTCTTCACAGATACTACCACACTCCGGTAAGACTTCACAGGATGAAACTGATGAAAAACCATTAATGTTGGAAATGCCAGCTGGAAACAGGTACCTTATTACATTGTACTTGGGAATGTAGTCTTGTTAAACCATTCTGGAAACAAGTTATTGATGTCTACAAAATCATGAATAAAGAATGTGCATTGTGTGTTATTGCTTTTTTCAGTTTTTATTCAATTTATGAAGGTGATGTAAACGGTTTTGATAACTTTTTGCCAGCATTGTCTGAAGATGATCTGAGCCGTTAAGACGAGTTCAAGAAAGTAGATTTTTCACAAAATTCAAAATAGCGAAAAATCTTAACCTGTACCTAATTTAAATGTTGGTGTGCATTCGACTCGGCATGAGCCAAGGAATCAGAAGAAAAAATTGCTTCTAGAATTTTGCTTCTCGACCTTAAGGTTCAAAAGTTATTAGCAGAAATATGAGTGCACATTTGGCCTACTGGTGGCACTAAAGAGTTTGAGATAGAGACTCCAAATTTGCTAAGGTTAATGTTGAGACTGTTTTCTATCTGTGTGCCAAATTTTATAACTTTCCCGCAAGTGGTTCTTTGGGCTGCCAAAGACTTCCTGAGCAGAAGAAGAAGAAGACTAATGGATACAATACGTGCTTGGCCCCTAAATACTGTTTTGGCGCACTTAATTTGTCGTGATAGATTACTGTAGCCAGAGACGTTTAAAACCAGAGTTCGACATGCTTTGACCAAAATTATGTTTTTGTTACAAACTGTTGTATAATTGATCAAAATGTAAAAAAAATTTTCAAGAGAAGTTGATCTTGGGTTTACACCAAATAATTGTTTTAAGCTACTTCTGTATTATTTCTTGCAATTAAATGCATGACATGTAATATTGATATATGCAAATTATAAATATTGTTATGTTTTCCTTATTTTACATATTCATCCATACAGTATATTCATTATGAGTTATTGTTACATATGCATGTAATTTTATTCTGTTCATAAGTGAAGGCTTGTAAAGATACGGCTGGCCCCTAGTGGCCGAGAGTTTTTGTTCTTTGTCTTAGTTTATTAGGTGCCAATTTCATACACCTGTGTTCCTTGAGCTGAGCGGTATAAATGCTGTTGTGACACTGGAAGGAGTTGCGGGGGACTTTGCTGGCATCCAGAGAAAAACTAGACCAGGGGCTGACTCGGCAGTTGTTTTTGTTGCGATTTTTCCTCTCCTTTTTGTTCAATTTAATTCTTTAATAAATATTCCCCTCTTTAAACGAGCCTTTGCTTGCCTCCCCCTCTATGTTATGTTCGTAAGCGTAACATAATTGGGGGCTCGTCCGGGATATGAACCCGGGACCTCTCGCACCCAAAGCGAGAATCATACCCCTATCTTTATTATTCTTTTGCATTATATTCATATTCCTCATATTAATGTTTTATGTTACACATTTACTCAAGTATTAGGCCTATTCAGTACTCATTCTCTTTATTTCCATTAATACACATATTCCTTTGACTTAATATATATTTTTCTTCATTTGACATATGTGAGCCTGGACCACAAAACCAATAAGGGTCAATAAGGGTTTTTTAAAATTTAGAATAAATAAGCTTTCCATTGATGTATGGTTTGTTAGGATAGGACAATATTTGGCCGAGATACAACTATTTGAAAATCTGGAATCTGAGGGTGCAAAAAAATCAAAATATTGAGAAAATCGCCTTTAAAGTTGTCCAAATGAAGTTCTTAGCAATGCATATAACTAATCAAAAATTAAGTTTTAATATATTTACAGTAGGAAAGTTTCAAAATATCTTCATGGAACACGATCTTTACTTAATATCCTAATGATTTTTGGCATAAATAAAAATCAATAATTTTGACCCATACAATGTATTTTTGGCTATTGCTACAAATATACCCCAGCGACTTAAGACTGGTTTTGTGGTCCAGGGTCACATATAAGAAAGTACATGTTATGATATTTTGATAGGATGTTGGAAACTTACTCTCTGCAAAAATATTTTTTATATGCAAGGATGTCTGCTAAATTTGTCCTCTGCCTTCATGGTACTACGTATTCTTTTCCAAGAGCTGGTATTTGCTATTTGCAAGATGATATTTGCCAATATCTGCTGTTTCTGCTTGAAAGGTGTAAAACCACAGCTATATTTATATCTGATCTTATCTATAGTCATCCTCATTGTCATGTCAGCGTGACCTGACCTAGCCCTGAACTTCAGGTTAATTTAGATGGAAGAACACAGTTGGAAAGACGTAGATAGTGACATAATGGATAAATTCATTTGACGTCTACAGATCAGACCAAAAAAATCTCATTGTTGTAGCATGTAAAGCCCTATTCGGACGACACTAGTTTTACAGGGGGACGTTAGAGACATTTGTGTTTCACAGACGTACTTTGAGATTTTAATCCCGTCCGAATCTGCCATGTCTGTGTTTTTCTCACACGACCTCTGTAATAATTCCAGAGCAAATTACCTACGGTGTACCAGTTCTAATGCCATGGCGAAAGTTTGAGCAAAACATGCTAACTGTTCTGTGTTTGGCTGCACAGACGAGCACAGAACACTGTTTAGAGTCCCAGCCTCAGAGACAACAGAGCAGTGCATTTATTGTAACTTTGGATTTTTTTGTAACTCGTGTGTGTTTTTAACGTAAACTTGTGTGTGAATGAGAACTTAGTTTAGTACTCACATGCTGTGACAGCCGCTTTCTGTGCGTGTGCTTCAGATGTGTGCCCTCAGAAAACCTTATATCTGAAGTTTAAACTCATATGGTTTAAAACGCATGATTTCAGCGCGGTAAACATGATAATCAGAACCAAAACAGATGTTTTTAGCAGGTCTAAGCTGTAATAGCGCAGCTCTATTCTGGAAAAGGGGGCGGGGAGCAGCAGCTCATTTGCATTTAAAGAGACAGACCCGAAAAACAGCGTGTTTCTGCTTCCACTCAAAATAGGCATTTTCAAAATGATCTGTGGAGTATTTTGAGCTGAAACTTTACAGACACAGTCTGTGGACACCAGAGACTTATATTACATATTGTAAAAAGGGGCATAATATGTCTTCTTTAACAGAATATACTCGGTTTGGATTTTGTATTCATTTTAATATTTTCCATTAATTTTATTTATTTATTTATAATTTTCATCTGTAATTGTTACCATTTATGATTTTATTTTTAAATAAACAATAATTTTACTAAAAGACTTCTGCCTGGATCTCTCCTGCATCAAATATTGAATATGTCCAGTGTGAAAGCAGGACCTTCTCAGGTAGAAGGCAGCGTTAGTGTTTGTCTGGTCATGTGATCTCGACCCGCTCCATGACAAATAAAAGAGCTTTAATTAGGACACTTATATGACTTTCTTCAAAAATATCACTCATTTCTGTAGAGCTGCACATTTTAATAAGGACCAAATGAGTGAGTTCAGCTTTGAGAATGAAAACTAACCTGTTTGTTCCTCAGGATCTTCATGTTTGACTCTGAATGCTTCTTCAATCTTCATGTCTTCACTCTCCTCTTTAATAAACGCCATCTTTATAATAGTG